AATGAGAGGAAACGGTTGCTAACTTCTCTCCGCAGGAGGGGAGAGCATAAACTAGCCGTTATCAACACGGATAACATATTTTGAATGGTACGTTCTGGAAAATGTGTGTTGTTGCGGATAAATGTGCTCGTGAAATTGAATATTAGCGGGAGGGTGAAATTTGACGCTTGCGGTCCTTGCGTGCTGTTGATAATCAACAGTTGGCTAATGCTAATTGCTAACGATAGCTTTAAAATAATTTGACTTTGCTAGAATTATTAAGATCATACGTATTATTGGTTTCTAACTTTTATTCGTTATATGTGAACGAGAAAAATAAGCTATGTCATTTATAGCTTATAAGTGATACATATCGGCTATTTTATGGTTAAATAGCGCAGCTTGCTAATAAGCAACTTAGCCAAACGCTTGTGTGAAAATGAACGCAACTCTTTTGCATCTTTATTAAATGCATTTTTCTGTATTTTGCGTGTATTCAACATTTTAAAAGTTTGCATTGGATAATACGGCGTTTTGGTGGTGTGCAATTGTGTTTTTCATCGCCTTCATGTTTTAATGTTGGTGTAAAGGCGGGCAATGCTTATAAATGCTATTAATATAATACATCTGACTAGTAACTCCGACTAAGTGTACAATATTTATGCAAATCTAAACCTGTGTGTTTGGTGTCTTGCATAAGATTTGACTTTTGCCTGTTTGTTGCCTGGTTGTGGATTAATTTGCATTAGAAATTAAGCATTCTATGGTTCTCATGTATTCTGTATCTCAAAACCGAGCGAGTTGCCCGTGATGCTTAAATTGCTGCCTATGTAGGCATGTTCCGTTGCATAGGTTTTGAGACATTACTATACTCTGAAGTTTTGAACGAATACTCTTGTGTGTCCTACCAGGTGTAGCAGAGATCTTGGAGCTTTGACCAGACACCAGGGCAATGTTTTACGCCCACTTTGTCCTCAGCAAACGTGGGCCGCTGGCCAAGATCTGGCTGGCGGCCCATTGGGACAAAAAGCTGACCAAAGCACACGTCTTTGAATGCAACCTGGAGAGCAGTGTGGAAAGCATCATTTCACCAAAGGTGAGCTTGCAACGCTGCTTCATCTTTGCTTTTGAATGGTGTGTGTTTATGCATATGTTAATTTGTTAATATGTTTAATTTTGTTGCTGTTAAAATAGGTGAAAATGGCTCTGCGTACATCTGGCCATCTTCTCTTGGGTGTGGTGAGGATCTACCACAGAAAAGCCAAATATCTTCTGGCTGATTGTAATGAAGCGTTTATCAAGATCAAAATGGCTTTCCGCCCAGGTAGTGAATCTAAACATGCATTTTAGTGAAATCTATAGATTTCAAAGTCACCTGAGTTTGACTGTCTGTATTTACTAGAATGCATTGTGTTTTTTAGGTGTCGTTGATCTGCCAGAAGACAACCGCGAGGCTGCATACAACGCCATCACCTTACCAGAGGAGTTCCACGATTTTGACCAGCCCCTTCCTGATTTGGAGTAAGAAACACTTGTCTTTTATTTTCAACGCAATATGGTTGGTGTATGTTAAGACACAGGTTGTGTTTGCAATATTTACAATGTAATTGGTATCACTTTACTTG